AAAAAAAAGGACCAGGTTTGCTGGTGTGATAGAGCCTGGTGGAACAACTGAGACTATGGCTCCTAGCTGCCTTTCAGGTCTGGAATTGAACACACTCCTGTGGCTTCCAGCCAAGCAAAAGACAGGCATATGAGCTGAACATTTACATTAGGTAGATACACTCATTGGAGAGATCAATCATCAGAGAATAGAAGGGCTGTGTATGCACAGGGAGATAGCTTGGGGGGCAGGAGTGCATAGGAGGGAAGGACACAGGAAGAGGTTACCATGGGGAGGAAGTGGAAGGGGAGTTGTTACATTGTAGGAAATACAGTCAATGTCATGAGACAAAGTGTATGTGAGCTGCTGTATGGAAAAGGAATTTGCTCTGTAAATTTACATCCAAATCACAATAAAAATTAAATAATAATAATAAAGCAATAAAATAAAATAGTTCCAACAGTATACTGACAGGTAACTGCCAGAAATTGAAGCCAGGATTCAGAAGAGGCATAGAATGAGGGATAGCATTGTTGTTAGATGGATCTTGGGTGAGAGCAAAGAATACTATAAAAGATGTTTATCTGTGTTTTATTGAGTATGCAAAGTCTTTTTGACTGTGTGGATCATAACAAATTATGGGTAACATTGTTAGTAATGGAAATTCCAGAATATTTAATTGTGCTCATGAGAAACCTGTACATAGACCAAGAAGCAGTCATTCAAACAAAACAAAGACATACTGCAAGATTTAAAATCAGGAAGGGCATGAGTCAGGGTTGTAGCTTTTTGCTATACTTATTCAATATGTATGCTAAGCAAATCATTTATGAAGTTGGACTATCTGAGGAAGAACGTGGCATTAGGATTGGAGGAACACTCTTTAACAACCTACGATACACTGATGACACATCCTTACTTGCTGAAAGTGAAAAGGACTTGAAGCACTAATGAAGATCAAAGATTACAGCCTTCAGTATGAATTATATATTAAAAAAAAAAAAATTCCTCAAATCTTGATCAATAAGCAACATCAACATAAATGGGGAAAAGATTGAAGTTGTCAAGGTTTTCTTTTTAATTGGATACACAGTCAATGCCCATGAAGCAGCAGTCAAGAAACCAGAAGATGTATTACACTGGGCAAATCTGCTGCAAAAGACTTCTTTAAAGTATTAGAGGGCAAAGATGTCAGTTTGGGAACTAAGGGATGTCTGACCAAAGCCATGATATCTTCTATTTCCTCCTATGCATGTGAAAGGTGGACAAAAAATAAAAAAAGACTGCAGAAGAAGTGATGTACTTGAATTGTGATGCGGGCAAAGAATATTGAAAATACCATGGACTGCCAGAAGAACAAAACTATCTGTCCTGGAAGAAGTGTAGCCAGAATGCATCTTAGAAGCAAGAATGCCCAGACTTTGTTTCACCTACTTTGGTCATGTTGTCAAAAGAGACCAGTCCCTAGGGAAGGATACTATGCTTAGTAAAGTAGAGAGTCAAAAAAGAAGGGAAGATCCTCAATGAGATGGATTGGTACAGTGACTGTGATGATGGACTCAAGTGTAACAAAGATTGTAAAGATGGTGCAGGACTGGGCAGTGTTTCTTTCTGTTGTGCATAGGGTCACTATGGACCAGAGCCAACTTGATGGTGTCTAACAATAACAACTCAAGACTGGAAAATAATTCTCTGTTCTCTGAGACCATCTAGGTTGTGGCTTGCCCTCCAGACTCTGGATGTTAGCTTCCAGATTCTGAGTGGAGGTCCCTGAGCCTGGGCTTCAGCTCCACCTTCCAGGCCTACTAGGACTACAACTCTTCTTCCGCTTTGGGCAGATCCAGTCTCCTAGTCCATCAGAGTGGCAACTCCACTCCTTAGCTCTGCCAGGCCCCATTCTTCTGTCCCTTGGGCATGGAAGCCCCACTCTCTCAGTTTGAGACAGTGGCCTCATCCTCCTGGCATACCTTAATGGCAGACCCACCCTCCAGACCTGAGTTGGGAAATATCTGATTCTTTGAAGTAACATACTGGCTGTAGTATTTTAATAATAAATATTGCCAAAAATTATATAGCATATCCTATGGGTCAATCTTTTAAGTACTGTTTGCAAGTGACTAATGTCAGTCCTGGAAACATCAACAAGATATTGGTTGTTATTATCCCATTTTACAATGAAAAATAGAATGACTTTGACTAAAAATAATCAGTTGTGAAATTCGGATTTGAACCCAATTTGGTTGCAGACTACTCATTCTAAACATCATACTATACTTCATCAATAGTGGAAAATTATTCAGTGCCCTTGATTTTGCCACTACAAAGCTGATCATTTGTTAAGCCAAAAACGGTACCATGCAAAGAAAAATGATCAATTTTACAACTGATACATACATACTTATACATATACATATACATATATATATATATCCACATATATATTCCTATATAAATAATAGAAATTCTCTTTAAAATATTTATAATTTGACCAATTATGAGCTTAATTGAAAGGCAGACAGTATTTTGGAATTTAAAGCAATAAATAAAAATCATCTATCCTTAAAGCCAAATATAAGTTTTACTACATACTTAAAATTACATGGTACAAATCCACTAGGACTTAAGCCACAGTTCCCAAATTGATCATTCCTAGAATTAATTTCTTCAAAGCATGCTTGAGAACCATACAGAGTACCTAGAAAGAGTGCAGAGATATTTAATCATATGGACTCTAAGCCAAATCTAAAATACTTAATTAAAAAGGAAGTTTTTAAATTGTAATGAATCTAAAATGTGTCATTCAGAATATGTTTACATTCTTAAAATTACTGACAAAAATAAAATAAAAATCACACATACCCCATCTTTTAAGTAAAATATTTAGCCTTAAAAGTATTCTTCTCTATTATCTGTGTTCATTATCTAGAAAGTACTTCTTAAAATTCCACATTATTTGACTTTCCATTGTTTCATTTCTTCTACATTTCATTATATTTAAAGTATATATAAAGAGAAAGTTGTTTTTATTTTTACAGATAAAAATTTGTAAAATTTATTCACACCACTAGCTGTATGTATATACACCAATCTATTTTTTTTCTTAAGCACAGTTTTCTGAGACCAAAAACCTTATAGTCAATTTTCAATTTTCAGTGTTCAATCCACCTGAAAATCTTTTTTTTTTTTTAATTTTGTTGAAAAAGCTTCATTTAACCTCAAATTGAATTGAAAATCTATATACTTCTCAGAAACTCCATCGAACCAAGTTCAAAGCTAAGACACTATTCACAATAGTCAAAAGGTGGAAACAGCCTAAATGTTCATCAACTGATGAATGGATAAACAAAATGTTACACATAAATACAATGGAGTATTATTTGGCCACAAAGAGAAATAAAGTCCTGATACAACATGGATGAATCTTGAAAACATTATACTGAATGAAATAACTCAGTAACAAAAGGATAAATATTGTATGAGTCCACTTATATAACATATCTAGAATAGGTGTGTGTGTCAATACCAAAGTTTATTAGTGGTTACCAAGGATGGGCTGGAGTGAGGGGCAGAGGGGGAATTGTTGCTTTAAGGGGTCTGAGTTTCTACTAAAGATTAGAAAAACTTGGAAATAGATAATGGTGATAGTTAAGTGACATGAAGAACATAATTAATGTCACTGAATTTTACATGTAAAGAATGCTGTAATGGCTAATCTTTTCTTACATATTACCACAATTAAAAAAAAAAAAAATCCATGTCTGTCTTTTTTCTTCCTTCTTTTCTGTTTGTGTGTTTATCAATGAGGAAGAATTTCTCAGTTCCGTTTATGAGCTTACCACATTTAAATTTCAGTTTTGTCATTATAGTCATTCAGTCTATTTGTTATTATTTTTTAGCAGAATTTTAATTTCCAACATCTCCAATGGATTCTTTAGTAAAATGCCTCAAGAATCAAAATCACTTGCTTCGATATAAGGACAAAATATCCTTCCTCACTTCATTATAGATACTAAATAACCATATTAAATTCTTGTCAGTCCCTGATCTAGTGGTTATGTCAAATTTCTTTCCTCGGATACATCATTTTCCACTTGCTAAATTGTGTTGTTTTTCTCCACATGTTCAGTGAATCTTAGTTACATGCTCATCTTTGCAGCTGCCAGTTACTTTGTATCTTCTACACCCACTGCTGTCCAGTCAGGTCCAACTCATAGCTCCCCATCCTTGCGTTTCAGAGGCAATATCACTATGGAAGTAGATTGCCTAACCTTCCTTCTGGGGAGTGACTGGTAACTTTGAACCACCAGCCTTCTGGTTAGCAAATGCCTTAGGCACTACACCACCAGAGCTCCCTTGTAACCTCTGCTACCTTTATATATGCAGAAAAACAGCTGGATTTGTTATCTGTCCAGTGGGGAAGGGTTGACCCTCTTGACTGTCTCTGCTTTGAAAACCTCAAATAAACCTTTGCTGCTGTTCCCATCTTTTTTTATCAGAAGTCTTCAAACACATCCTGTGTCACAGTTTTATGTTTTCATTTCATTCATAAATGTTTAATATCGATCAAATAATTCAAAATTTCTGGTAGGATGTTTCTGCAGCTGATACCAATTTACATCTACCAATACTAATGTGCTAATCTCTGAATTCCATGTTTTCAAATTAATCCTATACAAGAATAGTAGTCAGGTTTTTAAAGGTTGTGCCTGACAAACATAGATCTCCTTTACTTAAAAGGCAGTAAGTTCACTGTTATGGTTTTGTTTCAAAAAATGATTTCAGCAACTATTCCACTAAGATATCTAGCATTTTCAAATGTGACTATGCTGTTTTGTGCATGTGTGTGATTTTAATTATATCCACATATACATTTATGCACATTTGAATATTTAGAATCATACTCATTTTCCTGTATGTGGTAGCTAAGTTTGTAGGTCAACTTGGGTGGGCCTGGTTAAGTGGCCTGGCAGCTGGATGTAGTATTCCCCATGATGAGACTGGTAATCAACTCCATGGTGGAATCTACTGTGAGCAGTTGAGTAGCTGCCTTAGGGAATGTGTTTTGCTTCCTGTGTCTAAGCAGAAGCCTTGGGGAATGGTGTCTAGCTTATGGCATCTTGAACCCTGCATGTAGTCATGTCATTGTTCAGCAGCCTGCCACGCTCTGCTGATCCTGAGACTTTCAATGGACTTGAATCAATGGCCTGCGTGTGGTTTGGTAACATCAAGACTGTGCCTTTTTACTTGTCAACCTTGGGCTTGCCAGTCTCAGTAGCCACTCAGCTGTCTGAGTGAATAAAAGCCTCTAGTTCCAGTGGGTTGGGAGCAGGAGGCAGAGCTAAACCCCAAGGGGCTTTCACCCAGCCTCTAGAGCCTGGCACTTTGAACTTGGACTTAAAGCCCCCAAACTGTAAGAGAATGAACTCCTGTTTGTTAAGGCAATCCTATTTGTGACATATGCTTGTCGGAGTGGCACTGTTGTGGTTGTTGTTGTTTGCCGTCGAGTCGGCCCCGACTCATAGCGACCCCTCCTTGGGTTTCCGAGGCAGTGTCACTACGGAAGTAGGATTGCCCAACCTTCCTTCCGAGGAGTGGCTGGTGGGCTTGAACCTCCAGCCTTCTGGTAAGCAGTCAAGTGCCTTAGGCACTATGCTACCAGAGCTCCTAAGGTAACCAGAATACTATATAACAAAAAATGTTATAGATAAGAATCAGAGTAAGATAATTGGATCTATTCAGGTCTTGAATCCACAAATTCAAATGATCATAATTTTGAATTTCATCCTCTCATATTTTGTGGAAATAATCCAACATTGTATTTTCTAGTTCAAGGAATATTTTTTTTTAAATTTCTCCTGAGGAGATATATCATCTGTGTCTGTAATCCTTTAAATATTTACATCAAATTTATTACATTACTAACATAGAAATTTCTTTTAACTCTCAAAACAAAATAAAAGCAATGGAAATCCAATCATAATAAATACCTTCACCATAGATTTCTTCACACATTCTAGTCCCGTCCCGACATTTTCCTTCCATACAGACCCATTGATTCATGCTGCATCTGTACCCATCATGAAGATAGACATTCTCTGGACAAACATTAGAGGAACCATTGCAATATTCAGTGAGGTCACATTCATCCTCTGATAACCTACATATTTCTCCTTTTGCTCTTAACTGAGAGAATGAAGAAAATAATTCTTAATAAAATAGGATAAAGCATGGCAAGTGCTGCGATTGCTTAAATAATGTGGTTAATATAGAAATGACAGAGTTCTTACTTTACTTTGAGAGCAGCAAGACCATGGCAAGTGCTGCGATTGCTTAAATAACATGATTAATATAGAAATGACAGAGTTCTTACTTTACATTGAGAACAGCAAGATCCATGAGCACAAACAGCATTTTCTTTTAATCTGCACGTTTTATATTCACAGCATGGATCTCTTCTACACTCCTGAAATGAAAGTTAAATACTTGAAAGTAAACTATACATTTTGCTTATTTCAAAAAAAAATTGTTAATGAACATGTAAATTATGGAATACATCTTAATCCCATGTTAACCAAAAAAATGCCCATTTATTTATGTATTTATTCAGCAAATATTTATTAAATTTACCTAAAGTGGGTTTGAGAACATTGGAGTGGCAAATTTGTCTAAAACATGCCCATCCATTATGCAACCATAGCCTAGGGATGCAGATTGACTTCTGACTCTTGTTGATACAGACAGAATCAAATAAAGACACAAGAAGATAGACGATATATTCCAATATTTTTGTGATATTAAGTAGTTCTTATTTGAATCCACCCAGAGGTGCCTCACAAGAAAGCCTGGTAATGGGCTTCAAAAAGATAACAACCTTGAAAATCCTATTAAGCACAATTCTACTCTATACACATGGAGTCCCCATGAATGGAATAAACTCCATGATAACTGCTCTGGTTTTTTACCTTCAAACAATATCATTGTGGCTAGTATTATTTATAGAATTGGGGACTCATTTCTTCTTTAACAACACAAAACAGTTCATCACTTTTATATTTTTCACCCACACTTGATTCTGCCCTTCTGTACTAACATTCAACTATGCCCAGAGTAAATTTGCTTAAAAACTTTGATTTGTGTCTAAATAAATAATAGCCCCAACACATTCACAAACATACATGCACTAACGTAAACTTTGACATTAAATAATAGTGATTCACTGAGTATTCCAGGGTTTTAGAAATTATGAATTAGACAAAAAAAAAAAAAAAAAAAGCATAAAGTAACACTAGTCTAGGTCACTTATTTCATTATTAAAATACTATAAACATTAGTCCTAATATTCTAAATTGGCAGCAATTTTGACCCCAGGGGATATTTAGCAATCTCTGGAGCAATAACTGGGAGCTCTGGTGGTGTAGTACCTAAGGCATTTGGCTGCTAATCAGAAGGCTGGCGGTTCAAACCCACCAGCCACTCCTTGGAAGGAAAGTTGGGCAATCTACTTCCATAGTGATACTGCCTCCGAAACCCAAGGAGGGGTCACTACAGTGAGTTTGGTTGTTTGTGGTTTTGGACTCTAATTGATGATTACGCTAGAAGGCTACTGGTACCATATATACTACCGCCATCTAGTGGTAGAGGCTGGGACTATAGCTAAATATCCTACAATGAACAGGACAGCCTTCCTACACCCCCTCAACAAATAATTGTCGCTGTGTGCCATCAAGCCGATTCTGACTTATAGTGACTCTACAGGACAGAGTAGAACTACCCCACAGGATTTCCAAGGAAAGACGCACTGATGGCTCAGTGCCTAAATCATTTGACTGTTAACCAGAAGGTTGCTGGTTCAAACCTACCAGCTGCTCCCGTGAAAGAAGATGGGGCAATCTATTTTCGTAAATATTTATGGAGTTGGAAATCCACTAGGGGTCACTATGAGTCGGCATCGACTCATGGCTGTGACTTTGGTTTTTTGGTTTCTGGAATCTTCATGAAAGCAGATTGCCACGTTTTTCTCACCCAATGCAGCTGGTGAGTTTCAGTTAGCAGTCAGAGTGCTTAACCACTGCGCCATCAAGGCTCCATCAACAAATAATTGACACTGACGCTTGTGAATACTGACTTTCTATAATTCTCCTGCACAATTCTGCCCCTCAAATGTCATTGTTCTGAAAGAGGGATTCCAGAGGAAAGTTATAAGCCAGGGATTTAAAGCTCAGTTATTGCCACTCCTGGGATGCAAGATTGGGCAATGCACTTGCATAGTGATATCGTCTCGGAAACCCAAGTTGCTGTTTGCCATCGAGTTGAACCCAACTCATAGTGAACCTTCCTTGGGTTTCCGAGGCAGTATCACTATGGAAGTAGATTGCCCAATTTTCCTTCTGAGTGGCTGGTGGGTTTGAACCGCCAGCCTTCTGGTTAGCAGTCAAGTGTCTTAGGCACTATGCTACCAGAGCTCCTAGAGGGGTCGCTATTGGTCGGTCTGACTTGAGGGAAGTGATTTTTTTTTGCTTTTTTGGTACAACTAAGATCTATGATGACTATCCCTTTGCTGTGTTAGATCCCAGCATTTCCATTATAATCTTTTGTAAAATAGATCTAAGCTGATTCAATGGAGTGATGTTGGAAAAATTGATAAGCTTTCTTACATATTTTGACATGCAGAAACTTTTTTGTCTGTGTTGAACATAATCAGGAGTGACTTACGCCATATGGAGAAGAAATGCGGACTTGTTAGCAGTTTCAGGTCCGTGCCAGTCACCAACCTCTCTCTCTCATTATATTCTCTCCTCTACACTCCCCACCTCCATCCTACTCAAAAGTTTTCTGTATGAAAATATTGACTTTGCCTAAATTTTATTACACTAAATATTTGGGACTTACATAGAGACCTGCATTAGAATAGTCAGATGTCATAAAATTGATGCATACAATTTTTATTACCTTTGTGAACAAGCTCTGTCTTTCTTCATGGAACAAGGACACAGATTAAAATGAAATTTTTGGGTGGAGAAAGGGGATACACTGGAGGTAGAAAACAGAACTTTTAACTCAGAAGTAGGCCTAACTGATCACAGAATGTAGGTTTACTAATGACCAATGGTGATAATCTATAAATCACTGTAATTCTCCAACTTGTGAGTCAATTTATTTATGTGTTATTATCACTGTATATTTCTCAACACTGATGCTCTTAGAGAATAGTGAGTTTGATAAGTTCAGCAAAATGGCAGTGTAGTACTATAGATATAATTTTAGTTCTAGGAGCTCTTGTGGCGTAGTGCCTAAGGCACTTAAATGCCACTCCTTGGAAGGAAGGTTGGGCAATCTACTTCCATAGTGATACTGCCGTGGAAACTCTAGGAAGGGTCGCTATGAGTAGGATACAACTTGAGGGCAGTGTGTTGCAGTTTGTTGAGTTTTTAATGACATTCTATTGTAAAAACTTCTTATTCAGTACCAACCTCTGTATGCCCACAATCACATTGCTCTCCATCATCCACTTGTTTATTACCACATAGTGAAGTCTTGTAAAATGGATCTAGGTGTGGCTGATTTTGAAGACACCGAGAATTCGGCTTTGAAATAAAATGTTTGAAGTCTTCCATGCTGCAGTTACTGAAGAGCTTCACACCACTGGAATGACTAAAATTATATTTAAATTTTTCTGTAAGAATTATTTTCATGTACAATGTAACCTTAGACACAGTTAAATGAGTATTCCAAAGCAGATCAAATGTTCTATTTTGTTAAATTTTCACAGAAATCAACTACACAACATTCTGCTCTTACATTAAATGATCTTAAATTAGAGTAAGTAATGGGTAAAATCTCTTCAGTTTGTCTCTTACTCTTACCTATGACATTTCTCTCTCTGGATTTTCCTCATACCTTATAGGTTGCTCTGTTACTGTTTCATATGTTGATTCCTTCCCTCTTTCTAGGGAGTCTGGTGGCATAGTGCCTAAGGCATTTGAGTGTTAGCTGGAGGGCTGGCAGTTCAAACCCACCACTCACTCCTCAGAATGAAGGTTGGGCAATCTACTTCCGTAGTGATACCGCCTTGGAAACCCAAGGAGGGGTCACTATGAGTCAGATCCCACTTGACGGCAGTGAATTTGGTTTTGGTTTTTGGTCTCTCTTTCTCATTGTTAAGGATTAGAATATCCCAGAATTCAGTACTTAAATCTCTCCTATTTTCTATGTATATTCACCCCTGCTTAACTAAACCAGTTCTATGGTTTTAGACACTATCTGTACCATGACAGTTCAAACATTTTTCTAACCCTAAATTTTCACTCAAATGGCAGATTTCTATATGTTCGACTCTATACTCACCATTTCTGTCTAGAGAATGGCTAATCACCTTCTTAAAATTAGCTTGCCCCAAATTTAACTCTCCTCTTCCTTTCCTTCAAAGATGTACCTCCTACAAGGTAGCACAATGTTTCAGATTGCATTCTCTGGAGCCCATCAATTTGCATGAGTTCAAATCTCTTTTTCTGTCACAAACTGTACAGCTTTGAGCAAGTTATTTGAACTCTCTTTCCTCAAAGTTTTCTTGTCTATAACTTGAGATGATTTATTATTTAGTTCATAGATTTGTGATGATTAATTATGTCCATATGTGTAAACCAGTTAGAACATAATTGGTACTCAATAAGCATTTGCTACTATTACGATTATTCTCCAGTTCATTAAGTAGCAGTTCCACTTATCCTTTCCTCTTGGCCTTATATACTGGAAGAATCTTCTATATTTCTCACACTCTGTATCCAATCCATCAGTAAATTCTATGAACTCTAACTTCTAACTACATCCAGAATTTGAGCTCTTTTCCACACCAGTAACTTTTTCTATGCTTCCATCATATGCTTTCTTTAACCTCTATCTACTATCTCTATTCAATCAAAGTAGCCTTCTTGCTGTCCACTCCCTCAGACATGTGACACGTATTGTTCACTCCACATGGAAAGATTTTTTTTCAAAAATTACTCCCTCTTTAAAAACCACCCAGTCAATTAGAACCTTCCTGACCACACTATCTAAAGTAACACACTCTTTTGACTTTTATTTCCCTTAGTGTTTTTACTTTTCCTTTTAGTGTCATTTGCTTATTATCTCATGTCCTCATTAGATTGTTAACCCCAAGAGAGCAGGTATTTTCATATGAATATTCCACTGGGGTATCCCCATTGCCTACAACTATGCCAGCACAGAGTACGAGTTCAATAAAGATCTGAATGAAAAATAAATAAGTAAATGAAACAGGTCGTATTTAATAACTCTTGAGCATTTGTATTTTCAAAGTCTATCTTAATAAGGATTATTATACTGACTGTTGACATAACTAATGTTATTACAATTATATGTAGTCAATTCTAATTATTTGCATTAACTCTCTTTTATAAAGTCTCCGTGAACAATGAATTAGATAATACAGAATTAGCTTTGTTTGACTTCACCCGGGAATGTATATGCCATTCTACATGCGCATCTCTCTGAATAACCACAAAAACTGCTGTGAATATTGATTTTTGAGTTAGAAATAAATTTTAGTGAGTAGGCAAATTTGCAAATATGGAATCCAGAGATAATGAGGGTTAACTGTACAACATAATTGATGGTCCCAAACCTCAGGTTTTTGAAGTATATGCCAGTAATGATATTCAGATTAAAAGCACATACAGAGTGGGATATGTGAGTGAGTTATCCCTTATGGGATTATTTATTCTAATAAAGCTAGTCATATACCAAAACAAATAATGCTCTTGAAAAATATCTTTTTATACTTAAATGCAATATACAATAAATACATACTTTAGATGTGAAAAAGAAGCAAATGAAAACACATAGCATACTTCTGTGGAGGATATTTAGCATAAATGCAAAAAATCAGCAAGAATCTTGAAAATACAAGATGAAACAGTGACTATTTTCTTAAAAATATCTGTCAAAAGATTTCATCAGTTCTGTGTAGAATATCTAAGAGACTAGGCATCTATTTCAGAAATCTATAGTCTATATTTTACAGCTGAATATATTTATGCTTAAATAAAAGTGTGATAAGCCAGATAGAAATTTCCCCCATATGCAAATTAATGATATAGCAAGCACTCATATAGTGATTATTCTGTGCCAGATACTGTTTTAAGCACTATAAATATATTAATACCTTTAATTCTCATAGAAATCCTGTGAGATAGTTTGATAGACAAAATAATGGCCTCCCAAAGAAGTCATGTTCACGTCCTAATCCCTAAACCCTGCGTATATTTTGCCTTACATGGCAAAAGTGTTGTTGCTTATACAGTTAAATTAAGGATCTTGAAATAGGAAGATTAGCCTAGATTATCTAAGTGGGATCAATGTAATTACAAGTGTTCTTTTAAGAGGAGGTAGAAAAGTCAAAGTTAGATAAGGAAATGTGATCAAGGAAACAGAGATCAGAGAAAGAGAAAGATTTGAAGATGCAATTCTGCTGGCTTTGGAGAGGCAGGAAGGGACAATGAACCAAGGAATGCAAGCAGGAGCTAAAAGTTGGGAAAGGTAAACACAAAACAAAACAAAACCAGGCCTGGTACCCTCTCCCACTCCAGAGTCTTCAGAAGGAACACCTTAATTTTAAGACTTCTGACTTCCAATATGTAAAATAATACATTTGTATTGCTTTGAGACACTAAATTTGTGGCAATTTGTTATAGAAGGAGTCTGAAGCTAATAGATATAGTGATAATTGTTAGAATCATTTTATATTTGGGAAACTGAGAAATAGAAATCTTTAGTATTTATCATTTCACAGTTAGTAAGTGGTTGAGCCAAAAACTGAACTCTTGCTACCACTATTTTAACCACTACACTGTATTGGTTTCGTATTTCACAAAAATGATCAAATGTTCTAAAATATAGCATGCCTCTTTCCAAATCTCCAAATCTGGCATTAGATTTAATGCCAAAATATTGAACCTCAGAACAAAAATCAGATTCACATTGTGGTTGTTCGGTTTGTGTGTCAACTTGGCTGGGCCTGGTTGAGTGGCTGAGCCGTATGAGGAGACCAGCAATCAACTCCATGGTGGGATCTACCACAAGCAGCTGATTAGTTGCCTTTGGGAATGTGGTCTGCTTCCTGTATATAAGGAGAAGCTTTGAGAATGGTCTCTAGCCTATGGCATGCTTGGGCCCTGCATGTAGCCGTGTTGTTACTCAGCAGCCTGCTATGCTCTGCTGACCTTGGGACTTACAATGGACTTAAGTTAATGGCCTGCCATGTGGTTTGGTAATATCGGGACTGTGCCTTTTTACTTGTCAACCTTGGGGCTTCTCAGCCTCAGCAGCTAGCAGCTCTGAGTGAAGAAATGCCTCTAGCTCCAATGGGCTGGGAGCAGGAGGCAAAGCTAGATCCCAAGGTTGAGGGGCTTTCACCCAGCCCCTAGAGCCTGGCACTTTGAACTTGCACGTAAAGCCTCCAAATTGTAAGAATAAATTCTTGTTTGTTAAGGCCATTCCATTTGTGGTATATTTCCTGTCAGAGTGGCACTAGGTAACCAGAACACACATCCTGTCAGATCATTGTTTTTGAATTGAACATTCAAAAGTACACAGAAAGAATACTAAGAACCTTCAGGATGACATGAGTCCAAAGATTTTGCACTTATTTATAGTTAGTTATATTGTGAGAAAGATAAATTAATATTAAATAAAAATGAACCTCTCTTAATAAGATTTCTTAAAAAATAAAGTCTGAAAGGAGTGGACTGCAACTTGACTACAGGTTATACCAATGACTAGGAGTGAGAGGGTGGAGTGAATAACACAGTGAAGAAACAATGGTGAATATAAAGCTGTATTATCAAATGATTGTTTTTGAAAAAGGGAGCTTAATTCTGCTGGGGCCGCAGAAGAATTTACAGAATACTTACAAGAATTGTTTCTCATAAAAAGCAAAGGCTGGGGTTCCCTTAACTGCGATTGAAGGTCTTCCCAGAAAGGTCAACTACTATGCACTTCAAGGGTCACTTCCAGAAGCACTGAGGTGGCATTGAACAAAGGCTGGCTGACATTAATGGATGACATGATGACTTGGTTTTGAATACCTCTTCTGTGATAGATGTTCTTTGGCTAAGATAATTAAATTAGACATAAAGATCTGCATAGCAAAATTCTATCAGTCCATCTGTATGCCTTTTTTTTTTTCAGATTGCCTTACTCTGTTCTTTTTATCTTTCACTTTCCATGTCCCTGAATAAATGGCCAAAATACTTGCCAATGCCCAGAAGTCCCCACATATATCCTTTCACATGGCACCTTCTTCCAAATAAAGTGAGCAACCAAAGATATTTTTGCAGCTGCATCCACTTGAAGTATTTACTCTCTCAACACTTTTAAGCCTATTTGTGTTTTGAACCATAGTGTGATTACAAATAATTTTCTATTCTCACCAATAAAACAATCAGACTGATTATGAACCAGGTCAGAGTTTTTCCTCTTCTTCAACTTGTAAGGAGAAACTATAAGGTCATTGGTCTGAAGTGACCGAGAAATGTTGATCTCACAAATGGAGGTAACATAGGAGTATGAGCTAGCTATTCATATAAATTACTGGTGACCTCCAGATTTTCCATAGCTGAATCATACATAGACAATTTCCATTGTGACATGAATTGTGTCTGTCAACTTTATGACTCAGGGAATCTGATAATAAGCAAATGTAAAATTCAACTTTGATTGCATGGCAACTTGAAGTCGGGTGGTTGAAAGCTAAGTATCTAAAAGGCTAAGTAGAACTTCAGGAAGTGACCCAGAAGTCTAGGGTTGTGTGCTGAAAATCTCCTGGGACTTGTCTGAGATTCCATAAAAGATCCATAACTATTACAGATAAATCCAGCTTCATTGAATTTGAAGAGTCATAAAAGCTTAAGTGGCAGGATATTTGGGACTAAAGTTGAGCCTGCCACATATCCTTCTTTTGTTCTGGGCTCAAATAAAAATTAGTTACTTCTAAGTCACCCAATGAATGAATGGGAATAGTCCCCGCATTACACTATGTTTCTTTCCAGATTGTTGATAGAGGATGCAAATGCAATAACTTTTCTTTGCATGGAAGAGATGTCATAAACATTAGACACCTAAACATTTACTGTTTTGGCTTCTGTATTTTTGCAAGGTGTATTTCTCATCTTCTGGAAGGAGTACGTCTTGATCGAATATCAAGGAAACTTTACATTTTCAGTTCAAAAGATACAGTGAACTTTTTGATATTCTATGAAATGTCAACACAGTTAATGTGATACAGAACAAGAGAGATAACATAGGTTTAAGGCAAGAGAGCACATATAAACTGATGATCTATGCACATGATTTGCAAACGCTTTTGCTCTACTTAAACACAATTTCCTTTGGCAAAAAAAAAAAAATCAGATTGAAAAGAATCTACTCATTTAATTAGAAATGTCAAAAGAAATGACAACAAAGTCTTTGTTGGTCTATTTCAGTAGAGATGAAGAAACTCTGGTGGTGCGGAGGTTAAAACATTCACTGCTAACCAAAAGGTGGGCAGTTCAAACTCATCAGCCATTCCACAGGAGAAAGATGAGGCAGTCTGCTTCTGTAAAGATTTTACAGCCTTGGAAACCCTTTGTGGCTATAAGTCAGAAGCGACTCAATAGCTGTGGGTTTGATTTAGTATCCACATATGTCATAAAACATGTCATATATTCTATGATCATAGAGGAGAATTGAATGAGGATATGATGATGATCAACTTCTCTACTTTCTTTAACATATTGAGAATGGTTCTCACCTGGAAAGTTCCACTCAGGATACGCCATTGCTGCTAATTAAGTAGTTCATTTGGGATTTGGGTTAGCTCATGTGGATCGCTCTTTCCACTAAAATTATCCTAACTTTGTAAGATGTAGAATTTATGTGAGTTCTGTTTAAGTAGCTCTGGTAGCATAGTGCCTAAGGCACTTGACTGCTAACCAGAAGGCTAGCGGTTCAAACCCACAGCCACTCCTCGGAAGGAAGGTTGGGCAATCTACTTCCATAGTGATATCACCTCGGAAACCCAAAGAGGGGTTGCTATGAGTCGGGTCTGACTCGACGGCACATAACAACAAAAACAACAACATCCCAAATATGAGTTCTGTGGTGAGGGAATTTGCCACAGGCTGAGGTCATGGCTTAAACTGATCTACTGTGAGATGATTTGGGAAAACAATCCTTTGGTATTCTAGCTTGCTCACTCTAACTGGATGCCCCCAAGGTCTCAGTGTCAAGTCAAACCTTGCATCTTTAACAGTCTTCTCCACTCTCCAGTGTACAATTATTTTGGTGAATGGATAAGGTCCATTTGATGAAAGATTGGGGAGGGATTTATTATATTTTCTTAAGTCTGAGAACTGGTTCAAATCTTGAAATATGTTGATGCACCAGCTCTCTGTTGTGTGTGTGCGTGCGTGCGTGCTTTATTTATTTTTTTCTGGTTATACAAGAAAATCAATACCCACGTTTGCAGTCCAATAATCTCACCTCTGTTGTTGTTGTTGTTATATGCTGTCAAGCCAGACCTGACTCATAGTGACCCCTCCTTGGGTTTCCAAGGCAGTATCACTACGGAAATAGATTGCCCCATCTTCCTTCCGAGGAGTGGCTGGCGGGTTTGAACAGCCAGTCTTTTAGTTAGCAGTCAAGTGCCTTAGGCACTATGCTACCAGAGCTCCCAATCTCACCTCTAGGAGCCTATTAAATGTTATTAAAAATCATCAGAGATAAAAGCACTGTGAGTGTTACTTTGGCTTTGCTGCCTGCAGTGGAAATTATATCAATCTTGTCTCTGACAGGTAAGGACAGATATTCCAGATGTCTGTCACTCCAAATGTCATTAAGTAGCTCAGTTTCATGGCAGGATATCTTACTGACAATCCTGCCCTATGAAGGACAGACATTATTACATTTATCCATTCTCCCTGTCATTAATGTATTCCAGTCTCTTTCAGTAAAAGAAATATCTTCTAGGCCTTCCTGGAGAACATGATCAAATAATGGATTCTAAGGTGTCAAACAGTCAATCCTTTTCTTGTGTTTTCTAACTTCTGTCTCAATATTCTTCCCATGTAACTATGCTATCTGTACTTCATTTATTATGGGTCATGATTGTGTCCAGACTTGGAGGAGCCATTGCAGCAGCATCTTTCCATTGATTCCAAATATCCTTGCCAAGATGTTTAATCTTAAATAATGGGCTAATATTCCAAAGTCAACAAAGTATTACTTAACCAGCCTCATGTTCTAGTCTCTAATCTCAACACCGTGAAAATTCTTTGCCACAAGTATTCCCTATTCCTGCCAAATTTATTATTAACCAGGCCCTACAATGCTTTCTGTGAGTTATCTTATTTCTTCCTCAAGGGATTGTATTTCTCCATTCAGGCTGTATTGACATCTAATTCTAATAATTAATCTGGAGGCAATGAAAGGAAGTAGAGTAGATAATTAGAAAGGAAAGCATTATTTTAATGGACACTAGACTCAGAAATGATTTTTGTAATATTCAGCCAAGGCTGCTCTTGTTGCCATTGGACCAGTTAGTGATCCATTTCCACACTTCAGTTCTGAAAGTCTGCTTGCTAGGATCACATCTGATACCAGCTTCTGCAGTCTATGTATTCTAAAAGTGGAGCCTGAACAAGGACTTGAGAGCAGGCATTTTTTAGGAGGTGTTTGTGAAAGCAGGGACAATGAGATAGGAAAAGAAGAAATCCCAAATAACACTACATTGGCAAGTAAAACACAGAGTAAGCCTGCCAGAGTTTACCATATGAAATGATGAGGTGGAGTAGTTATATAATAGCTTCCATGCCTGACTAGATAAGATTTCTGACAAACCCCTGACTAAATTTATTCTGCAACTGTAACATTTTATAGTGCCCTTTAATAGTGGCAGAGATAACAAATGGGTTTGGCTATTTCTTAGGGGCATGATAAAGACACCAAAATTGTCCTACAGTGGTAATGATAGACAAAACCTGAATGACAGCTTTTCTGACATTTATAGATGTCAAAACTTAAGGCTGATCCAGAGGAGGATGCAAAGGGTAATGAAAACAAGGCAGACATTATTTATTCTGTGTAGTGGTCACAGGCCATATTTTGTCCATCAAGTATACATTTTTCCAGCAAATATAGTGGTGAAATTTAGGTCATATATGAAAATATAAAAATGATAACAAGAGAAATTATATATGTATGTATGTGTGTGTGTGTGTGTGTGTATGATAATGAGATATATGAGCTTGGAATATATACTTTGGTTTGGGGATCATTGATCAGGGTTAATACTTGGTCATTAAGTGTTATTTCCTACAGCTTATTCTTTCTTAAACACATCACAATTATCTTTGTATGAAACTTGTAAAATAAAACATCTTACACTGCTTCTGGGTTCATTATGCAGGCAGCTCCAGGGCACTGGCATTTATTAATGTCATCAAATGATATCCCCATACTGAGACTTAGTAATTGAGCTATAATAAGTGCAAATGATTCCAGGCTTGTGGTTCTAGAGTGCTAAAAACAACAAAGAAAGAAGAAAAACACAACTTTTTGAATGGTAGCTCATTCATCTGGGGAATAGTATAATTCCTCTATGAAAAATAAGAAAATAAATATGATAAAATGTAATGAAGGCATCTGGTATATCACCTTCACTATGGACATTTTTCATATATTATCAAGATAAGAGAGATAAGAGTAATATGAGAGTTAAAATTTGAAATTTTACTAGAATCTAAAATGAATAATAAAAAAATATTGGTGACTCTATTGACTGGTCAGACTCCTCTTAAATTTCAATATAACTTCTTATTTATTTATAAGTATTGTTACAGTCAGTTATTTTTTAAAATCTGTATAATCATTAATATATACTTCATGTATGCATGTGTGGGAAAGACAAAGAGAGAGAGAGAGGAAGAGGACAGTTTAATTATATCATTGAATTTGATGTATTTCCGTTAACCTTGATTCTGTAATATTTGAAAGTAAATTTCTATATAGGCCTGTTCTTATTGCTGTTGTGTGCCATTAAGTTGATTCTGACTCACAGGCACACTGTTCTTAGGCTACAATCTTTATGGGAGCAGATCACCAGGTCTTTTTTTCTGAGAGAGCCACTAGTGCGTTTGAAACACTAACCTATTAACAGCCAAGCACTTAACTATTGTACCATGAGAGACCCTTATATGCCTCTTATATCAAGCTTTTCAATAATTTTTTAAGTTGCTATCTTTGAGAACTTTGTTAAAATATTCAAGTATGATTGTATTATGTCAATTTATTCTAGTATCTCTCAAATTTTGCACATACATTTTGACAATATCTTATTAGTATTGTTGCCACTTGCAAGTTATTATTATTATTATTATTATTATTATTTGTATTGTAGTTAATGACTGGTTACTTTCTGCTGCTCTAACACAAAATACCACTGATGGGTGGCTTAAACAAACAGGGACTTTATTCTCTTACAGTTTAGGAGGCTAGAAGTCCAATTTCAAAGTGCCAAGCTCTAGGGGCTGGGTAAAAGCCACTATACCTTGGGCTTCATCTCTGCCTCTTGCTCCCAGCCCACTGATGCTGGAGGCTTTTCTTAACTCAGGCAACTGCTGGCTGCTGAGACTGGCAAACCCAAGGTCAACAAGTAAAAAGGCATGGTCCCAAGACTATCAAACAACATGGCAGGCCATTAGTTCAAATCCAGAAGTCCCAAAATCAGCAGGGCATGACAGGCTGCTGAATGAAGACTAAGCTAATAAAGGGTCCAAGTGTGCCAAAAAGCTGCAGCAACCTTTCTCAAAACTTCTTATATATTGGAAGCAAACCACATCCTTAAGGCAGCTACTCATCTTCTCCAGTAGATTCCACCATAGAGCTGATGATCAGTCTCATCATGGAGAATAACTAAAACTAGCTGCCCAGCCACTCTAAACCAGGCTCAGCTAAGTTGACATATAACCTTAACTATCACAATGACCCTTTAAAACTTTATACAGGTTCTGGTACTGAGGTTGTTGTTTCCAATAGTATTGTTTTGAAAATTTTATTTGGTCATATTTCCATGGTTAGCTTTTTTCCTACCATTTAATATTAAATTATCTATGATAGTACACAAGAGTTTGAAACTTGTAAAAATGATGCTCATATGCAAGCTAAGGGAGTTCTGGTGGTGCAGTGCCTAAGGCATTTAACTGCTAACCAGAAAGCTGGTTGTTCTAACCCACCAGCCACTCCTTGAAAGGAAGATTGGGCAATCTACTTCTGTAAGGATACTGTCTGGGAAACCTAAGGAGGAGTCACTATGAGTTGAATCAACTTGATGGCAATGAGTTTAGTTTGGTTTGATGCAAGTTAAAGAAGACTAGGTGAGTTATGGGATGACATCAAGAACATTATACATGAAGAAAGCAAAAGGTCATTAAAAAGACAAAATAGGAGGGAAAGACCAAAATGAATGTCAGAAAAGACTCTGAAACTTGCTCTTGAATGGGAGAGGAGCTAAAGTGAATTGAAGAAATTATGTAATAAAAGAGTTGAACAGGAAATTTTCAAGGGTGGCTCAAGAAGATAAAGTATTATAATGAAAAGTACAAAAACCTGGAATTAGAAAACCAAAAGGGAAGAACATGCTCAACACTTCTTAAGCTGAAAGAACTGAAGAAAAAATTCAAGTCTCTAGTTACAATATTAAAGGATTCTATGGGAAAAATATATTGAATGATGCAGGGAGCATCAAAAGAAGATGGAAAGAATGCACAGTCACTGCAAGTCAAAAAAAAAAAAAAAATTGGTAGATGTTCAACCATTTCAGGAGGTAGTATATTATGAAAGAACCAATGATACTGAAGGGAAAAGTCCAAGCAACACTGAAGAAATTGGTGAAAAATAAGGCTTCAGGAATTGATGGAATACCCATTCAGATGTTTCAACAAAAAGATGCAGTGGTGGAGGCGAGAAATTTGGAAGACAGCTACCTGGCCAACTGATTGGAAGAGATACATATTTGTGTCCATCCCAAAGAAAGGTCATCCAACAGAGTGAAAATTAGCAAACAATATCTTTAATATCACATGTAAGTAAAATTTTGCTAAAAATAACTAAAAAATGGCTGCAGCAGGATGTATTGACAGGAAGCTTCCAGAAATTCAAGCCAGATTCAGAAGAGGGCATGGAATGAGGGAGATCATTGGTGATGTAAGATAAATACTCGCTGAAAGCGAAGAACACCAGAAAGCTGTTTATCTGTGTTTTATTGACCATACAAAGGCATTTAACTGTGTGGATCATAACAAATTATGGATGATATTGCAAAGGATGAGATTCCAGAACATTTGATTGTGCTCATGTGGAACTTGTACATAGACCAAGAGGCAGTCATTTTAACAGAATGAGGGGACAGGACTAGGCAGTGTTTTGTTTTGTTGTTAGGGTTGCTATGAATCAGAGCTGACTTGAGGGCACTTAACAACAACAAAAAGCATGCAAACTTAATTTTTTTTTGTTTGCCTTAAGAAATAAACCATTTAGATGTATGCATTCCATTGTATTAATACACTGTATTTGCCCATCCTCCTTGGGGTTAAGGTTGTTGACAACTTGGCTGGGCCTGATTTGAGTGGCTGGCAGCTGGATATAATTATTCCCAATGGTGAGATTGGTAATAAACTCCATGGTGGATTCTACTAGAACATCTGAGTAGCTGCTTTAGGGATGTGGCCTGCTTCCAGTATATAAGAAGCAGCTTTGAGGAAGGTCTCTAGCCAATGGCACACTTGAACCCTGCATGTAGCCTGGTCGTTGTTCAGCAGCCTGCCATGTTGCCCTGCTGATCATGGGACCTTTAATGGACTTGAATTAATGGCCTACTATGTGGTTTGGTAATAGTTGGACTGGGCCTCTTCACTTGTTGACCTTGGGTTGTCAGCCTCAAAAGCTAGCAGCTGCCTGAGTGAAGAGATGGCCCTACCTTCAGTGGGCTGAGAGTAAGAAGAAGAGCTGAAGCCCAAGGTGGAGGGGCTTTCACATAGCCCCTAGACCCTGGCAGCTGGAGCTCAGACTTCTCCAAAATTGTAAGAGAATAAACTCCTATTTGTTAAAGCCATCTTATTTGTGGTATTTCTGTTAGAGTGGCACTAGGTAACCAAAACACTCCTGTTGTTATTGTTGTTATGTGCCGTCAAGTCCGACCCAACCCATAGCAACCCCTCTTTGGGTTTTCGAGGTAGTATCACTATGGAAGTGATTGCCCCATCTTTCTTCTGAGGAGTGGCTGGTGGATTTGAACTGCCAGCCTTCTGGTTAGCAATCAAATGCTTTAGGCACTACATTACCAGAACTCCCAGAACACTCCTATAGATGACCATTTGGATTATTTCTAGTTTGAGGCCAGTTTGAACAAAAGTGCTGAAAATATTCTTGTATACCTTCAGTGGACATATACACTCAAAATGTAGGTGTAGGGTGAGCTTGAGGAGACATAGCCAAATGGTTTTTCAAAGCAGCTGAACTAATTTATACTCCTCCCTGCAATGTGTTGTTGTTGTTGTTGTTGTTGTTGTTAAGTGCCGTCGAGTCGTTTCCAACTCATAGCGACCCCATGCACAGCAGAATGAAACACTGCCCGATCCCACGCCAGCC